CCGCGAACAGCGCCGGCCGCAGCCCCTGACACACTACGCACGTGATCTGTACTATGGTCATTAGTCCCTCAAGTAAATTCAATGCTGTAGTGAGCCCAACAGCGCCCATAGCGCCACTGCGAACAGCGCCGACCACAGCCCCTGCCACACAAAGCACGTCACCTGCAATGGTCATTAGTACACTATCTCGCGCACGTCCCTCGCACACAACACACGTTACATCATTGCACGTCAACTGCTATGGGCATTAGTCCCTCAAGAACAGTCAATTCTCTATCCCGTGCACGCCCCCAGCCACACAATGCACATTACATTAATTGCACGTCAACTGATTTGGCCATTAGCCCCGCAAGTAGAGTGAATGTTCTATTCTTAGCCCGCCTCCAGCTCTACAACACACATCACAATCATTGATCGACAACTACTATGGGCATTATTTATTTAAGTGCACTCAATGATTTATCCCGGGATGTGGCGATGATTCTCCCTCGCTGGATGGTAAGATCTGGTGCTGGACTACACGTCGACATGCGGTGGGAGAATCCAGTATTTTCCATTCTCTCCTGGCGGGGCACCATTCTAGCGGGGCACCTTTCTGAGCGTTCTACTGGTCTCCCGACATGCGTGTTCATGTTGTGAATGTGTGTGTAAATGTTGGAATTCACGAAATGACAAAGATTTGACCTCCCATCGTGTGTTGAACATTACACCATCACCAGTTTTCGAATTATAGGACTTTCCGGTCATAACCGTTGCAGTGAAGAACTGATACAGAAAAGCTCTCCCATTTCACTCTGGCGTATATGTAGTCGAGTCATGTAGTCGAGTATGTCGTATATGTAGACGATTTCGTGCGTAGTTATTACAAAATTGCAAATATGGCAACACACAGACAGGTTTCGCTCCCCTGACATCACAAGCGGAAAGCAGTCGGTAGAGATAACCCAGTTTAACGCTCGGTGCTTGTGAGTACGCCAATGGAACCGCAATTTCATGGATAAAATGGAAAATCAGCAATGTCACGAACTGGAAACAGGTAAACCGTATGAATTATTTTAAAAACTGGTAAAAAAACTTACATTTTACTTTCAGTTTACGTTAGGCTGGCAAAATTAGCCAGAATAGTTTGAATTCATTTATAAATATTGCAAATGAAAGAAACTTAAAAAAGATGATAAATATTATTTTAGAGAACAATATTGAATCAGTATTATCTCTTAAAAATGAATGGCATTCTTCTTAAACACAGTTTGGAAATCTGTATAGAAATTATTAATTACGTTTCTATTTACAGCCTATTCAGGTTTAGGTTGTAAATGAAGCTCTACTAAATTGCATATTATTCTAGAATATTCATGTTCATTGTTTAGGTTCTGTGACGCTACTGTACATGACCTGTCACCTGTTCCTTTCCCGGATAGCTCGGTGGCACAGAGCGAAGTCGCACGCCATTCACCGAGGAGGTACAGGTTCGATTCTCGGACAATATCATGTGAAATCTGTTTTGACAAAACGAGTTTGCCTGCTTCACATGGACTAGTCTAAGTTCTAAAAGAAAACTTAGAAAGTGTGTCTTTCCTAATTTCTAAATGCATTCTAAATCTGGCTGCTCGATAGTGACGCAGGAGCGCGTGTGGGAGGCGAATATGTGGAAATGCTATCTGGCGGTCCTCTTGATACCCTAATGTTAAAATCAAAATATGTACAACGAGTACTAAAACTTTAGTAGTAACGGAGGATTACTTCATTAAAATAGCAACGGAGGATTACTCCAAGAGCGCTCAACAGCAATAAGGGTTTGAAGACGAGTTGTGTCGTGATGAAAAATCAAAAAAATGAAGCAGAGCCGTCAATTGGATTCGCCTCAATCGTTCCACCTCCAGCGTGGGACGCTCCAACTTACGGCGCACGATCATGAAATGATCGAGCGAGTAGAACGAGCAAACTGAACGCTTTGTCACACCCTTAATACGGATGTACTCTATTCCTCGTATGTACTATAGAGAACGTGATAATATCGTGTGAAAACTGTCTCTAGCGCTCGCGATTTTAAAACAACCGTGTGTGTTTTTTTAACGGCAATGTCCGTCTGTAAACGAAACAAGCTGATACACTTGGTTTTCATTCAAAGTAGCTATTCTTCCGCCGAACTGGCCCCACTTGAAGCTTTGTAAATTTCAAAGGAAGTTTTTTCAACACGAAGATTGTAAAGTTTCTTTGTAAAGGTTGATTTCCCTGTCCTCCATTTTTCTTTATATTTGTGGTACGAAATATTTCAAACTAATGTATGCAAAGGTATCTCAAAATAATAGTTTACGTCAAACATTCCTTTACATCATAATATGTACTACATTTTCAATAAACGCCTTAAATGCGTTTCTTCTTCGTTCTAGTGCACTGACCATTCAATATTATATATTCGTGCACGATCTAAAGCCTTATTGCTGACTCGTACTTTAACATCGTGTCTGGTAATTTTCACGTTCTTGTTCGTACGAATTTTCTTAATTTTCTCATGGAATTTGCTCACGTGTCCTTTTCAACTGTTTTATTTGCAAAAAATATTATAAATTATATTTCCCCAATATCAATTCTGTTGATCTTTCCTTGTATTATTTCTAATTAAAATTCACTTCCTTGTTTCTCTTGCCTCCGCCATTGTTGCTGTTGTTCGTATTTTTAATAGCTTATTGCTCTTGTCTCTACATACGTGTGATAACCTATCACAGTGACTCGGGTGCATCAATAATTGACGTCAATTATTGACGTCACTGCAGTGCCTCTGACCGGGACGTTCTAGGATAGGAGTCCCGGCGGTGGCAGGATTTTCGACACCAGCTACATAGGCATGAGGAATTCAGTCGCTGTCTGGAGGAGTATTCCAGCGGCCGGCTGCTCTAATCGGTGGTTTTCCGTGGTTTTCCGTGGTTTCTCGGATCAACTCCACGCGAATGCCGGAGGAGTAATCTAACAATGTTCAATCGTGCTCAATCTTCCCTCTTCTTCCTTGTCCCATCCTCACCCCTTACTTACACACATACACTTACACGAACTACACTACCATACACGCTGGGAGAACAGTTGGGAGTTTGAAGCTTATCTCAGCTGGCTCGGTGCTTTGCTAATGGTAGATACATGTTTGGAAAAATCTATATAAGCTGATAAGTAAGTCGACACCGGATCTCGCCATCCATTGGCGGAAGATCACTGCCAACTCCCGCGATAAAATCATGTAATACACTTACGGGTTATACGTCCATAGCAATTTACACGCCCGAAATCACTCATTAATGAGTTAATCAACCTACACAGGAATCAAACTCATTGTATAACATTATGAATATTATTTACACCAACAATGGTTAACACTATACATACCTTTCTCAATCCAAGTTTTCCTTGTCTCCTTTCGAATTGGCCATTATCTTGAATTCGGCAGGACATTTTCCACACTTCTAACATCACTTCAACACCTTCGTCTCTATAAGTTTAAGATTATTACATGTTGTTACTGGCAAGTAACGTTTAGTTAAGATAAAGACAAGTAACGTCATTACTGACAAGTTAAAACGTTTTCATCTTAAATGTATTCAGATGTCAGCAAGCTCCTGTTACAACACGTTGCAAAGCCCGGCCTGTTCCTAGAAGGTACACCAGTTGCCGCGTCGGTGTCTCTTGTGACGAGACACCATTTGTGAAATAACATTTAAACTCAATTTTCTCGAAGACAATTTTTTTTGACAAAAATTGGAACTGCCATTATTCATAAAATTCAACATAAAATCCGTTTTTTTTATTTTTGGAACGGAAGCTTCGGGACACTATTTACATTCTCAAGTACGTTTTTTTCAGTCAAAATTTTGTTTTAATCTTATGTTACTATATGACTGTTTTAGTGCATTTGGTCGTTTTTCGTTCCTTTTATACATCATTTTACTGAAAGAAAATATCATCTTAGAGCTAATGCGTTTGAAAAAATGTAATTCCCCGCGATATTTTGCACTTCTATTTATTATTATTATTATTATTATTATTATTATTATTATTGTTATTATTACCCATGTTATTTACAGAGAACAAATTATATGATGATAACAATAGTCAAAGCATTCAAACATTAATTTATTAAAATTAATAGTCAAATATTTGCGAGTTTGTAAAAATACTTTTTTACATATACGAGATATCATCACTCAAATTTATTAAATCTGACTTCAACATCACTTTACTTCAAATATTAACTCAATCATTCCATCAATTTCCATCGTTTTTTATTTACCCTGTTACATTCATAAGCATTATAGATCAATTAATAGTTAAATTTCACTTCACTCGGATATCACGTGTCAAATTTGGAACAAGGAGCTTTCTGTAAAGAGTATTCTGGGAGACCAGACTAAGTATGATCTCTGACAAAAATATGAAGTATTTATATGATGAAGAAAATAAAAGTTTTGGCAAAGAAAAATTAAAATAAAAATATTGAAAGATACCTCTTAAAATATTCATATTCTAAATTATCAAACCCGTAATGTTTAGAAAAAGCACTTCCGGACTACATAAGCTCTCAATAAATCAGAAAAGTCAATATAAATTTAAAGTTTGCAGAACTGTTCAAGAGATTCCTTATAAAACAAACAATTTGCTGTTTTAAAACCTGAGATCAGCTTCTTTGTGTAAATTTCATGTAGTGTAATTTTATATCTATTAACACATAGTTTTAGAATTATACATATCCACATTCCTACACCATCTTCAAAACCGAGCGTAGACTCACCAAAGAACGCAAGGAAATGCGACTTACGTGAAGGTTACATCTTTTATAGTAACTCGTGCCACTAAACCTGCCCTGATAAGATGCACGTTTCTCCCCACATAAGTCTATGTCAATTTGTATTCCAGTGTCACAATACCTAAAATGTTCGCAAGTTATTTATCAGGCAGTTGTGGTATTTATCTGCGGTTTCTTTCCTAGAGGCCAAGAATGCTTATTCATGACCTTAGGACACCGGCAAGTCGCGATACCACAACACAGGGGGCGACCGCAGCGCCACCTCGTGTTCAGATACTGAAGGATTCGCGTGTTGATTCTGCGGTAAATTAACTCGCGAGGGTGTTCAACAGGCCATTTATCATTTCTCCCTTTTAACTCCATTTTTCGCACCGGCTTAGGTGGCTCAGGGCATCAAATGTTGTCACTGCCTGTGCCTCTGACTGGGGGTTAGGGTTCCAGTCCTGACAGTAGCAGGATTTTCGACTCTGGCAAGCTGGCTGGAATTCAGCCACTATCTTGGACGATAATTCTAGCGGCCGGCTGCTTTGATGTGTAGTTTTCCATGGTTTCTGCGATAAGCATCAGGTCACTGGTAAAGCAGAACCCTAAATAATGGGTCACGGATTGTGCGCGATCTTTTCTTCCTCTTCCTTCTCGTAACTCTTCCCCTTACTTACACCCACTTACGCTTACATGCATTACACTGCCACAAATGTTCGACACCGGCAAAAGTGGCTCAGGGCATCAACTGATGTCACTGTGGTGCTTCTGACTGGAAGGGCCTATGGCTCAAGTTCGGCCAGAGGCAGAGTTTTCAACATTAGCTTCTTGAGTTCAGCCGTTGCCTGGAGGAGAATCTAGCGGCGGGCTGCTCCGTTCGTTAGTTTTCCGTGGTTTATTCGATCAACATTCGGCGGAGGAATGCCCTAACAAACGAGTCACAGGTCACACACGATCTTTCCTTCCTCTTTCTTGTCATTTCCTCACCCCCTTACTTACACTTACATGTGCTACACTTCCTCAGATGTCGGGAGTCCAGACAGGATCTTTGCTGCATGTATTGTATTCAGGGGGGTCTTCCGCAGGACATTCGACTTCAGCTTGATACACCAGTTTGCATCACAATGTTGGCGGGAATTTTAAATGCATCCAGTTACCCGAATTATCACCTTGGTAAGTCATTTAAACATATTTATGAAAAATTATTTTAAATATTGCATCTTGAACACCTTGATCGTGTTGTTTTTGGAAGTTTACCATTGAAAATTGTTACTTAGTACCACTTTCAAAATGTTTCTCAACACTTCTCGCTCACCATGTAGCATGGTGGCCAGTTTTAGCTCTGTCTTTTCAACCGAAGTGCCCGTGCTGTGGTCACGTGATTCGTAACGCAAACTGGTGTTGCATGGAACGAGCAAAATTCGGTGCGCTGAGTAACTCACCCATATCTTTTCACCATGATTGTATTCATTTGTTTAAAATAAATTTTTGATTTTTTTAAAAATGTATTCCCTAACCCGACAATTCAAAAATTTGAAAAAAATTACATTGTATTCTAAAATGTTGTATTCATGTCTAGTATGTTCCAAAGTCGGACTACGAAAGAATTTTAAGAAAGTAAATAAAATGGAAATGTCTACTTTCTGTTTTTCTGCTGCATCTGCAGTAGATACTTTGGTAGATGGTTATATTTTCCCAGAGCAAAAAAATAGAAATATCACTGCGTATTGAAATAAAAGTGTCAAGCAAATTCAATTTAGTATTAAACAGACGGAATATTTATACAATTAAGAATACAGTTAATTAAATTGGTATTCCTTTTACTTCACTTTACAAAGAATATAGTTTATTGACTGTTTAAAAAATTTTAAACTATATATTTTCTTTGTTCTTACTACTGTTTTTATTATTTTTCATACCACTGTTGCAATAGTTATCTTTATAAGTATTGTTCAGCCTTGCCAAAAATATAAAGGTAATGTTCTTCGCATATCATCAGCCTACTTCAATAACTTCCTGCTAAAATAGGTTCAGTCATGCTTGAAGGCTAGCTTTTATTGAGAATATTATAGTTGCTGCGTCCCCCCACTCCGCCGCAAGGTCCATTTCCATAAGATGTTAGGAAGCGAAGAAATGTCATTTAGCACCCACATTGAAGACATCTTTGTTTAACCATAAACTGCCAGTGTTGTGTAGTGTAATATTTGGCACTGACTTCATTCGAAAAATGAATGTCTATCATAATCTTTCATGAGACGTGTTATGAGTTAACACTGAAAAATGTGAATTGAATTCCTGACGAGTCTCAGGCATTCAGGAAAAGACATTTTTTTGATGTTAAAATTCTTTATTTTTTTAGTTTAGCACAAAAGGATGCAGGGCAGTTACGACATAGTAACTGACCTATCTCTTTAAGTACGAAAAATGAATTTTCTTTAAAAAATCTCACTGAACAATGAAATCTTCTGACGTCAAATTTTCTTTTTGTCTCGTGAAAATAGAAGACGAGAAAATGGTAAAAAATGTTTTACTAAGCCAAAGATAAAAAAATTTATTGTCATTTAAAATTGTTATATTTAAAAATTCCAAATAAAATAGAGTTAATAATTGTTTGACCAGTGCGATTGTCTCTTTATTTCGAACCAGTGCTCATTGTAATTTGCGTATAAACTATCAATGTTTTGCCGATATGCAAACTGAACTTTGCAGTTGAAAAGGGAATTATTCAAACCATGATTCACATTTATTTCTTCTGCTCGTACAAAGTCGTTTTATTCTCTTTACTTTCTATTTGATTTCATGTGGCAAACATTTTTTCACCAAACGATTTTACAAATTTGCAGATTTATCTGTACCATCTACGTTTACATTTCTGTGATAAATAACTCACATAACCTCTGACAATATTTACAGTACGTGGCTGGTTAGCTTGAAACTCTCCTGTGAATACACGTTGCCCATTGTCATCGATGACCCATAACTCTTCAGGGTAGCCTTGAGAAATTGCTTTCATACCCGTTACGAAGTGAAGAATAGTGCTGTTATGTTCTACAACATGGTGGTTGTCGCTAAAACATAAGAAACCATTAAACATGCTTTACAAAGGGATCAAACTCTTTGCACGTAATCAGTGAAAAAACATTATACATGAAGTGCTTAAAGTAGTGACAAGTTAAGCCTCATCAGCCATAGGAAGACTCCCACAATTCGTAATTATTAATATTTCTGTTTTGGTCGAAGAACGGGTAATCTTGTTACAGCCCCAAGCCCTTCATTTAGCCTACTAATTAGTCATTTTGTGGCCCGAAAACTCCGCGTTCCTTATGATTTTATCAATAAATTTGCCGTTTACCTTTTTTTGCCATAGAAGCATTGAACTACTTTTTTGTAATTTTCCAATTTCATTGGATATGATAGAAATACTTGAAGCAAATTTTCAAGATACTAAGCGCTGTTCTACAATCGGTAAGTCAATAGCGTCATTTCCGAATGTGCACTACAGTGCAATCCAGTGAATTGCAAGTCGGAATGCCGTCTGGCGGGCTAAGGTTCTGACGCTCTAATATTGGGAGCAATCTCCGGATTGCGCTTGATACAGGATTTTTCTTTTACTTATTTATGTCCACTTTTCAACATCTATGGTCATAGTGGTCATGGAAATCTAATGTTGATTTTATAACTTTGTGGTAATGGTACACGGCATTCACAAACATCCATGCCCGGAGCGGGCTTCGAACCGGTGATCCTTCAAGCCAAGGCAACTACGACTCTTCAGCCTCAGCTACCTTGGCTATCCCTGCCGGTTGGTACAGGATTGTTGTAATAAATATCCACTAATCTGTCAATAGAAAGCGTCGGGAGAAGATAGTGCTAACCCTTTCTTCATAAATCCAAACCAAAGGTCTTTGAATGTCTCCTAAAAACAAGCAGTGTAAACGAAATGTTAAACAAACGTGTTCATAGAACTACTGTAAGTGTGCAGAAAGTAGCCAGAAGTATATACGTCTCGTTGTACTAAAATTTTACTTTCTCTGCCTGATAAAACTTATAGACATGAGAGTTAGCACAATCTTCCCCCCACCCCTTGAATTCTTTAGATAGTCGGTACATATTACCACAGACACTCATTTTCGTTTCCCGTGGTTTGTATTCGAATTTTCTTTGGTATAGTAATTCCAGAATACTCGTAATATTTTCAGCACCTTGACTCACTTTAAGCTTGCAAATTAGGTACAATTTACAATTGCTTTATCTCACTTGCAGGCCTATAATTGCGCCCGGTTGTAAGTAGTCACCTCAGACCGCCAGTTAACCGTCAAAATGTATTTTCACAAAAAACACACTAATACGTCTCGAAGTCTTCAACAGCGCTTTGAGATGCGTACCAATGATTGAGCAATATTTTGCCCAAATCTCGCAGTATTACATTATAAATAGAGTACCTCACAGTTTACAAATAGGTTCAGATCCTAGTTATGGTTGAATTCATTGCCTGAAAAACAGTAACTCCTTGCGCCAGACGTGGTGTGCGTAATCTTTTCCACCCCGCAGGGACAACACAACCAAACACAAGAACCCGCTGCATATGTCCGCATGGTAGTGACAGAATATTATGAATCAGCGAGGTCATAAAAGTTTATTGTTTCTCAGAAATAGTCCTGCAACTTGTTGCAAAAGGCACATTTATGAACTCATCCCTTCACGCTAGTTGTCGTAGAGTAAAGATATATAGGGTTACATTAAAAATATCCAAGTTATATTGATATCTCCACTGACCTCGTATATTCAGTTGACGTGTCCCAACAGTAAATAGATTCTGTTCCCATTTGATGAAAAAGCATCACGGAGTTCATTGCCAGCGCTTCTCCAGCACTCTGAAAACATGATTTTCTTAACTCATGACGAATTCGTAATGAATACAAACGAAATAGGAAACAACATTGTCATGTACAAACTAAATGTTACTAGGGCATGTAGGATGTAGTGGTCGAAAATTATAACATTTATAAGAAGCATTTAGCGAGAAATTTCATATGACGGAATTACATAAGTAACCGTATGCGCATGTATATGGTCATGAAATCTGAATAATGTGAAAACGCGGCTAGATGCTCAACACTTCTGCGTACGGTTTATCTTAAGAATGAGAGGAAAATGTCTTGTGTGTAACTCCGTTACATGGAACTTTTCACTGCACGTTCATTGGCAAAATGTGATCATTTGCGATCCCACTACATGACTTAAGTTTGTAACATTTTCTCTGGGCCATTCCGTCTTCAGCGAATTACCTGAGATTGTCGCCTTCCAATGTATCTGAATTCCTCGGCGGCGCTGTTGTTTCCGTCGGCGAAAAGTGCTTCCTTCTGAAGCACGGCCTTGGGCACTCTGCCCTCTTGGAAGCTGGAGAACGAGTGGTAGTACAAGTAGTCATCCCTGCCGTTCAGGGCCAAGCCCAACACGCCGTCGTCCACTGTCCAACTTGATCCATTGACGTCGATACGCTCTGCGTTGGACTCTGGAAGGAAGGTGTCGCTTGCTACCCGCCAAGACCTGAAAATATGAGAAACCAGAGATAACATTAAGGCGGCTCCACATGTTCGTTATTCGGCGAGCAGCAAGCAACCGTTCGCCAAATCGTGAGTATTGTGGATGGGTTGCTTGCTGTTTGCCGAGCGACGAAGTTTCGGAGCTCGCACTACCGGTCGCGTGTGGGTTTTTTGAACACATAAGAGGAAGCGAACATTCGCGGAACACATCAGCTGCTCGCTATTCAACGAATATCGAATGTGTGCATCCGCCTTTATACCGTGTAGCCCACCTAAGAGGTTCCCTTCAATTTTCTCCTGAACCCTAGCAGATACTGAGATGCGGTTTTCACTAAAACTACTACATGCAAGGGGCACATAGGGTCATGCATAATAGTATTCTATTACATTATTCACATATGTGCCCCTTACATATAGTAGTTTTAGTGAAAACCCCATCGCAGTATCTGCAACGGTTCAGAAGAAAATTGAAGGGAACATTTTAGGTAGGCCACACGGTATATAGCAAATGCCAATTAAAGAATATACAGATCATAATACGAATTACAGAAGAATATACGAATATTTTTAAAAAACAAATAATTACATTTATAATAGATATATAGAATGCAATTGTTCAGAATCAATATTATGAAAATTTAGGAAACAAAAATAAAATTTCATGTAACCAGTCGGTGGCTTGGATTCGTAATGTTTACAAAATGGAGCGGGAAATACATTAGGATAGCCGTAATTTACGTAATAAGTTAGTGAATCACCTCCCGCGCGTGTATATTACTTTTTAACACGTCATTTTCAAAATAAGTTTCGCACACGTCTCGTAATGTTTTGTCCACTATTATATATGATGAAAAAATCAGATGTTTTGCGCTCTGAAAACAAGCCCGAGAAACTGGCTTCTCGGAGGTCCAAACAAAAAAAAATCTTTTAGGGAAGTGTAGAAAACAACGTCTTGCATTCAGGAGACGGAATGTCATTTACTTTACTGAACCTATGAATTGGCAAACGTGTATGCCTACAGAAGTTTAAGATCTAAAATTTTCATAATGAAAACACGTTCGTTATGGGTACTAGACTACGAGAGCACACTCACCTTTGAGAGCGGAGGCTGAAGACGTACATTGCGAAGGCGCCTGTGTCCGCGATGTACGCGAAGGCATCGTCGCTGCAGAAACCGCCCTTTTGCTCAGCAATCACGTTCAGCATGAAAGTGGTCTCGTTGTCGTTCGCAGGTACGTTGAAACGGTGGCGGGCGATAAGCTCGTCCGTTTTGAGATCGAAAACTAAAAGTTGTGGGGGGCACTTGTGCTGAAAAGTGTTGCCGATGTCAACCACGCCGCAGTCGATCACCCACAGACGTCTGCATTTATCTATCTGCGAACAAGTTATGTACACATAAGTACTTCGCCACGGAGAAGATATGGTTTTGAAAAATGTAATTAGTTTATGAAATCTTAAAAATGGTATATTTCACTAATAATAAAAATGATTTTTTATTGATAAAGTACTTTTGAATGTATAGTCTATTACATTGTTCGTTACGCACATACAAGTATTAAGTCAGCACCAATTATAGTAAATCTCTAGAGACTACTGGTTTTGGATCGCTATGTACACTCTTGGAAACATAAAGTTTCGCGTCGAAAATGCCTTGGCGCGATAGGTTGATGGCTCTGGACATCCCTGCTTGCCGACAGCTCTATCTACCGTTTATTTCCGAAACTACGTTCTGTAGATCGTGCTATCATGATTTAATTTATCTTATTGGAGAGAGTTTAAAATATTTTAAAATCCATTGACAGCAAAATAGTTGTAGCATTAAGGAAAAAGACTTTCGTGATTCCTGCCAGTAAAAATCAACTGACATAATTTTTTGTAAACGTAATGTTTCTTTCAAGTTTCGTTAATATAAAAGGTGTTAGTATTAGAGGAGCGCCGCAAAGAGGAAGAATGGCTCAGTATCAAAGTGTTGTTATAGCACTCGTTAAGTTGCGGGTTCGGTTCCC